TTTTCATTTGAAATTTCAAGGAAACATTTTTCAGGGGAATAGTGTATCAGTTCTGTGCACATTTCTCTTTTGGGGAGAAGGTGAACTTCACACAGACAGGAGTCCAGAGGCAGAATTAGGGCTTTGTTTGAAATCACAGAACCTTGCATAGAAGGCTCTTCCCTGAGCTGTCCAGTTAAGGTCAAGCAAGTTTTTTCCTGCTTTGAAAGCTCCATGAGGAAACAAATACCCAGCCTGTGGAAAGCTGGATAGTCATGCTGATCATTACCTTTGAATGGATGGCATTTTAACACTTACTAAGCACCAAGTTTTCTCTACTCCATGAAGTCTTATTCATTTCATTCAGGCTTTCAAGACATCACTTTCCAGTTAGAGCATGCAGAACAGCATAGAATTGTGTTGGCCATTTGGTGTTACTATAACTAAAAACCCAAATAGAAATAAGTAACTACATCCAGAAGCCAGGGCAGTCTTTTAACTTCAAGGGAAAAATGCTGGTATCAACTAAGAAAATGATAAAAACTGGTACCCACATTAGGCTTGGTTGTGAGTCTACTTGAAAAGGTCAGGAGTTGAAATGATCAGATTTATGAACACTGTATTTTGGAACTTTCATGTTGTGGATCCCTAATGCTTGGAAAAAGTGACTTATTTTGCTGGCACATAAAATGACATTCAATAAAAGTGAGTTTTGCTCTAGCCAGGGTATTTCACTTGCTTAAGACAGAAGGATCAAGAGTTTGAGGCCAAATATAATGAATCCATTAAAAAGAGCCACAGTGAGTACTGGTCACACTTGGCTGATCTTGAAACTGTGACCCATGGAAGTAGTTATTTCTTCATGACATTGTTAGCCTGTTTCCTACCAGGAAACAATAGCTACTATGTTTGACTGTTCTTCTCCTCTTAGGGAATGGCAATGCTCTGTGAAACCATAGAAGAATGCTGGGATCATGATGCAGAAGCCAGGTTATCAGCTGGATGTGTAGGTGAAAGAATTACCCAGATGCAAAGACTAACAAATATCATTACTACAGAGGACATTGTAACAGTGGTCACAATGGTGACAAATGTTGACTTTCCTCCCAAAGAATCTAGTCTATGATGGTGGCACCATCTCTGTACACACTGAGAATTGGGACTCTGAACTGGAGCTGCTAAGCTATGGAAACGGCTTAGTGTATTTTCTGTGTGAAATGAGTAGGATGCCTCCAGGACATGTACGCAAGCAGCCCCTTGTGGAAAGCATGGCTCTGGGAGACTTACTGCGTCCTCTGCAGCACACAGATGAAGGGGAGTCTAAGGGAAAAGCTGCAAACTGTAAAGAACTTCGGAAAAATGTATACGAAGAATGTGGCCCTCTCCAAATCAAGGGTCTTTTGGACCTGGCTAATCAAGTATTTGAAAACTGACATCAGATTTCTTAATGTCTGTCAGAAGACACTAATTCCTTAAATGAACTACTGCTATTTTTTTTAAATCAAAAACTTTTCATTTCAGATTTTAAAAGGGTAACTTTTTATTGCATTTGCTGTTGTTTCTATAAATGACTATTGTAATGCCAACATGACACAGCTTGTGAATGTGTAGTGTGCTGCTGTTCTGTGTACATAAAGTCATCAAAGTGGGGTACAGTAAAGAGGCTTCCAAGCATTACTTTAACCTCCCTCAACAAGGTATACCTCAGTTCCACGGTTGCTAAATTATAAAATTGAAAACACTAACAAAATTTGAATAAATCAATTCATGTTTTATAACAAGGTATTACAAATTCACTGTGTTATTTAAGAAAAAATGGTAAGCTATGCTTAGTGCCAATAGTAAGTGGCTATTTGTAAAGCAGTGTTTTAGCTTTTCTTGTACTGGCTTGTAATTTAGGGAAAACAAAGTGCTGTTTTTGAAATAGAAAAAAAAAAAAACTGGTGTCATTTCCCCTCCTTCCTTTCACCTTATATCCAGGTCCCAAAGTATTGCATACTTAAGTAGTACTTTTTTTCTTTAAGGTGTGCTGTGTTTGGGAAATATTTGAAAACATAAAGCATGATTTAAAAAAAAAAATTTAAGTGAGCTGTGACACTGGAAAGCTCTTCATTTTATCTTTTAAAATAGATTTTTTTCCTATTTATATATGTAAAATTGTGGTGTATTTCTTTTACCAAACAGTGTGTGGGATATTCTTATCACTGTTTTAGGATCACCTCAGGAAGTGTCATTACTCAGAATTCCTCACTCTGCTTTGAGACGTGTAACTATCACTATGCTGTGTGGTGCCATCTTGTCAGAGTAATATTTGATGTCTGTGATATGAAGAGAATTACCTTAGGATAGAGATACTGACCATTAAACACAGATTTCAGATATTACTGCTTTAAATCAAATCAGGGATAACAAGTTGAACCTATAACTTAAAATATGCAATGACATTTAGAGGTAACCAGTGGTGGTATAAGGAACACAGCCTAGACTCCCCCAAGTTACTTTACAGCTAATTCTAGATAGTTCATGCCTTATCCTTGCTAAGAAAATGGAATTGGTGGCAAGTAGGTGCCAGAATACTTTTAAAAACAATGGAACATTAGAATATAATTGGCTTCTTCCTCAAACTTACATAAGCCTAAGTGAAAGATTTAATTCCCTGAAATGTTAGATTACCAACAAATAGCCAGTATTATATACATTTTTGTTGAGTCACTTTAACATCCATACGTTAATTTTATAAACTTTTTACATTACTACTATCAGGAGCTCACTGTGAATGCATTATCTTCAGATGGCTAAGACATCATACACTACATTTTACACAAAATGTACACTAATCTCTGGGAAGACTAAATTAATTATAAACAATACATATGTCAACAGACTCTAAGCAGGGAGGGGAGAGTAATAGCATTTGTGTCTGTATGCCACACCCCATAGAGAATTGTGCTGTCTGTGTACCAAGGTCTCACTGTAATCCTAAGATCGCCCAGTTCAGTGTTCTTGTTCTGATTTCTACATATTTGGCCTCTCAAGTTCTTGATTTAGGTTTGCTTCCACTTGTAAACTAATCAAGGAAAACCATAAGAGAATATGCATACAAGGAAATTGTTAATCTCCACAAACAAATTTCTACCGATTGTAGACATTCAACCTTTTTAAAAGTGATAAGCGAGGGTTATGTGAGTGTCTGGCTTAGGAAAGCACTGCAGATACAATGTTGTCAAGACTGGTTCACGAGAGAAAATGCTGTCCTCATGCGAGGGAAGCTTTAAGATATCTTGGGTATTGTACTTAAATCTAGTTTATCAATTTAAAAACCTGTATCCTCTTGAGAACTACATTTACAGAAAGCCTTTTTTATAAGCAGTAAAGTAAGAATGTTCCAGTGACTACCTGTCCTTATACCTAGTCTTGTTAAAACTTTCTTTCGCAGGGCATTTTAGTGTTTGGTTTACAGTAAGTGCAGAGCGGGCAGATAAAAAGTTTGAACTAGGGACACTGAAAAAGGAAGATCAAAGACTGAAAGGATTTTTTTTTTTTTTGAGGGAGATGGCAAACTTAGACCCCTGTAACTTTGTGTATGGTGCTCCTCATGATGTCTTGTACTTTGCCTTTCTGATACCCACCAGAACTGCTGCTCTTACTTACTCTACCTTGCCCAGATCTCCTGTGAGAAATGCTTTATGATCAACTGCCATAGGACTGATGGATTAACCAGTGTTTGAATTTATTTGAAGTCTATCTATGCCCTGCACAGATCTTGTATGTATTTTAGATGCTAGGAGTTTTAGCATGTGATTTGTGATTCTTGTTTGGACGTTTTATTACAGGTACCTTGTGAATTCCAGAACAGAGACTGTGCCTCAATGATTGGTCCCATGAACTTGCACTATCTTTCGTGGTGATATTCTGAAAATACAACCAGAAAAAAACAAAATCCAACACCTTTGAATATAAAACTAGAATCATATATCACAAAATTATGAAAACATCGCTTCTGTCCCCTTTTTTAATCCTTAATAGTCACATTTAAGTAAAATTCTAATGGTTGGGAACAAATCCTCACCAGATAGATGGTAGTTTAGTGGAATAGACTGGTTACTGTTTTTTAAAAAAAATGCTTCATCAGATATTTTCCAGTTTCTCTTTTTTACTTTTTTGAAAAATTACTTTTTAGGAACATTTGGTATAATGTGCATAAAATTATTTACAATTTATGGACAAAGATACAAGTAGCATCTTGATTAAACATCATTTACCTCAGATATTCAACCAGCAGTACGTTTTTTATGCAGTCTCAACCCGTATCTCCCTATTTGTTACCTCTCAAAATATTGGTAAACAATTATTTTAGCTTTACTCTGTATTTCTTGTCAGTGTTTTGGGCACAGGTTGTTGTACTACTGTCATATTGTACTTGCTATTTTTTTTCTGCAAGTATTTAACAGAAAGCTAAAAACGAAAAAAATCCCCATAAAATCCCACCTTGAATAAGTGATTGTTAAATATTGTACAAATACAATGTATGCTATCCCCATTCCATCCCTATGTTAAATAAAAAATGAATATGGTATTATTTTGCACATGCCGTTTTTCTTTAGCTATGTACATTCTTAAAGAGAGTAATAGTTTTACATTGAGGCTTCTGCATAGAGAATTTCAAGGGTAGTATTATAAAAGCAGGGTTTTTGTAAATTAGGGCATTTTCTTGCCACTTCTGTCTAATCAGACTGTATTTCTATCCAGGTGTCTGTGTTGTTCCTTACTGCCCATGAGAGGAATCCAGAGGCTTATTGGTAAAATCAGTGCATGTCATGGGATTCTGTGCTCTCGGGACAAAGGTGAAGACAACTTAGATTGCTGCTTTGAAAGAACCCACACTGTCATCTAAGATCAAAAGGCAATGGTGGAATATACACACGACTGCCACAGAAACTATTTCCACAGCATATTCTGCAGTGTCTAATTCTTTAGATAAGTAGGTAATAGGTCCTTACCATATAAGACATTATCATATGGAAGTTTAAACGACAGATTTTAATTTCTCAGAGACACGTGTCTGCATATAAATCAGAAATGCCTTTTAAACAAGATCCAAGTTTCTGTAGGCCACATGGAAGAAGTCTAAGTCCTTTTTGGTAGTTCTTCCATCTCTTGGCCCAGGAGAATCTTGATTTTCAGTATTTTTCTTCATGGCAGAGAATCTTCAAGTCATACTTTCTGTTACCATTCCTCAGGGTGCTTTGGAACTGTTGTGTAGGCTCCACTTCTGAAGCTGTGGAGTTGTACATTACAGATATACACTTCCGTGCCATACATTGTTATTTTTATTAGATTTAATAATGTAATTTAAACTATATATGAAGTGAAATTGGCTAAAAAACTTGCAATATATGCCTATACTTTTATGACCTTCATAGTTACTTCATTTTTATCATAATTAAAAATTTTATTAAAAATAAAAATTCATCTTGCCTGTTTAAAGTTGAATACATTGTTCAAACCAGAGCTTCTCTAGTTGTTACCCAGTCAGGAAAGCAGAAAACTAAGCTTTTAAGCAGCATCTAAGTAAGTTTTGAAATTCTCATGTCATTTTATTAGGGTCTTTAAAGAGGGACTTTTGTTTTTAGACAGGCTCTCACAATGTAGTCTAGGCTGGTCACAAATGCTTGATTCTCTTTTAACAAATCTCCTACATGGTGGGACTACAGACACCTTGTCCTGCTACTACTAGTTTTTTAAAGGAAAAATTTTGCTTTTATTCAGGTAATATAGCTAATATTACCATGTTAAATATTTTTTTCACCGCTGAAAATGTGTGGACTATGTATGTTATCAAACCACTATGCAAGCCTTAGACTTAATAAGATATGGCAGGGGAAAAAAGTCTTAAGACAGACAGTTACCATGTTTTACTGTAGGAAAGGCGGTGTCTGAAGAATATGGGTTTAACTAGGAGGTGGTACTTTAATGCACAGAAATCAGCCAAATTAATTCTTGAAAGTGTCTGTGCAGTTGAGCTGGTTTTTCTGTAGCTTTTGGAGCTTGTCCTGAAACTAGCTCTTGTAGACCAGTTTGGCCTCAAACTCAAGAGATCTGCCTGCCTTTGCCTCACAAGTGCTGGGATTAAAGGTATGCACCACTGCTGGGTTGAGCTTCAGTTTTTAATAACATGGGCTTTAGTCACACCAGACATTCCCGTGCTGTGATCCTAGACATACCGCCAGTGTGCTAGTTTTCTAGTCTGTAAACACTATTCAGTTCTGCAGTTAAATACTTTATAAATTGCACACAGATGAGTTATGTATTTTATAAAACCTCACTATGACCAAATATGCAATCAAATATTCTTGAACAAATGAAGCCATTGAATGATTAAAGTTCCATTTTTAAACTTCAACCTGTTACTTTTAGGTCTGAATTTATGATACAGACCTTTGACTGACATTGTATGTTCTCAGGAAATTCCTTTTTGAAGCACACTGCTAACACTTCCCATTTGTAAAAGCAGTTTCCCAGGAATCCTTTAAGGTACATGTTAGATAACAAATTCTGATTCCTTCTGAACAAAAGTAGACCCAGAATGTACACTTAAAAACATCCCTACATGAGATTATAGTAAGATACTCAGAAGAAAATGCTCAGATTTTTCAACCCCTTCCACAAACTTTCTTCAGCCCAAGTGGGCCAATCTACTGAAATTTGGTTAAGACCCAAAATTCCAATGTATACAGCAAAACCAAATCCAATCCCAGTAAAAGTTCCTACTGTAGCTGAAATAATCATGTAATTTCTGTTTTTTGTTGTCTCCTGACTGCTTAGGGTTACATTTGGTAAACTGAGTACTTAGTTGAAACCACCTTTTCCAAAAGACCACATACATTCTACAAAAGCGTCACACCATCATGTGGACTATCCCTAAAATTTTATTCTTTTGAATATATTGACTACTACTAATGTAGTGCAATTTAAATCAATGGGATTTTGTGAATGTGCTGTCATGATTCAACAAATAGGCAAGATAGTTAAGTTCAAGTTTCTCATAAGCAATATTTATAAACAAAGGGATGTAATAATATATCTCTTAAAGGACAGTAGTAGCTTTTAGTTTTATACAGAAATATACATAAAATATTCACAGCCAGCTTAGTGAGGATGTTGCCCACTGCCTGACATCTGTAGGGCAGTTGGAGTACTTCTGTAGAGCATTCATAATTTGAGTATTATCCAAAAGTAGTTTCACTAGCTGGTATTCTCTCTGTGAATTGACTGAAGTTCTTTCCATGGGTTTTATTAATTCCAATTGTTGTAAATGCTCAAACGCCTGCAAAATAAAAGACAGATGTCCAAGACATTATTATTGGTTAAAAAGAGAGTCAGCACATTTAAATCATCTTTTCCCCAAGTGCACCTCTCCATGCATTTTATATTAAAATATTTATTTTTTATTTCATTTTTAACTATTTTTTAAGACAGGATTTCTCTGTGTAGCTCCTGCTGTCCTAGAACTCAGAGATCCGCCTGCTTCTGCATGCAAGTGCTGGTATTAAAGGTGTGGGCTACCACATCTGGGCTCTATAATCTTTTTCTTAATTAACTAAAACTTTGTTCATGACAGACAGGGGATGAAGAAAGTAAGAAAGAGAACAGAAAAGACACCAACTTTTAGTGATGGGAATTTAGCTCAGCAGTATGAAGTGCTGGCCTAGCACCATTTAACAGAAATGGTAGTCCCCAAACCCCAAGCCTAATCAAATCCATAGAATTAAACTGTTAATTTTATCTGAATCTTAACAAGGTTTTGTTTCTAGACTGATTCCATATCACAGGTTTCTTTTTTCTACTGTACTCAAATCCTGTTCATGCTCAGCACTTTTCACATTCAGCTTCTGAACTTATCCTTTGTCTACTACTTTGATACTAAAAATCGAAGAAACTAATAAGACTCTATAAACAGGTTTGTTTCAGTCTCAATAAAGCTTTATTAAAGTTAAACAGCTGTATACCAATAGATCAGTGTCGTACTTAGCCACCATTAGAGAAACTTTTCCTGCAGTAGATGGGAACCAACAAAGACCCACATCTGGACAATGTACAGAGCAGAAGACCTTGGAACACCCTGCCCTAAATAGGATTTTTTTCCATCAAACCCCTCACCTTAGGGCTCTGTGGTAAAAAAGGCAAAAAGATTATATGAGCCAGAGGGAATGGATACCAAGGAAACAGTGTCTTCCAGACACAGCAGGACTAAGGAGCAGGAACTTTGAGAGGCTGTGACAAACACACAGCATGCACAGGTTCAAGCCAGAAGGGGTCCATCCATGTGCTGAGCTGGGGAAGTAAACTTGATCTCTCATCCACACCAAGAAGCTATCCCCAATTAACAACCTCTCACAAAGGAAAAATTAGCTTCTCCAAGGAAGTATCTCTGGGTATAGAAACCACATTTAAGGGCAGAGATCATGCACAGTAGTAGATGGCCAACACAAATGAACTCAAAGGTATTTGGACATTTTTGGTCTCATTATGGCTTTGCTTTGGCATGTGCTCACCTTACGCCCCACCCAAACTGGTCTTACGGTTTCTGCTTTTGTTTTTATGGGTTCCGTTCATGTCTCTGCCTGTGTATGTGCTTTCCCCTGCTATTTTGTTGTTTCTTTTGTCAGTTTGTTCATTTTGTTTTATCCTTGTCTGTTTGCTTGACTGTTTTCTTGAGGGAGGGCATGGAGTTGGAAGGGTGAGGTGGGAAGGATCTGAGGGAGGGGACTGGGATATATTACATGAAAATAACTCCTTTCAAGAAACATGAGTAAAAATTAAAGAACAAAAAAGTTAAACAACTGTAACACAGGGAGAGGTTAAGAAAGGTTAAGAGGTCCAGAGTATCAGGTGGGTCCTGTAAGCAAAGGGCCTATAAGACGGCACAACTCTGGGGTGGTGGTGTGTTTGTTTTACCATCAGTCAACGAAGCTCCCGTCCATGCTCCTCTTAGTCACCTTAACAGAAATCTTAACTGTTTGCTTCCTTTACTGTACAACTCATATAGCACTTTTAGAACCTTGACAACTGTTGAGGTTTGTTATTAAGGAAAGAAACACCACACTCTGATGAAATCTAAAACAGTGACACATGGAAGTAGAAATAGTCTCTTTTTTTCCCCTCCCAGTGGAGAGTGCAAATCCAGCCACCCACTTTCATAAATTATGAAGTCGAATTTCCTGCATCTGGGGAAACTGCAGGGGTCAAACATCTGGAGTGCAATGGATAAGCCTGCCCCTGGGAAAACCACCATCCTGGCCATCGTATCTCCTCTGCCTGTAAGTATTGAAGTAGATTCTTGAGCATTTTTTTCTTAAAGTTCACTGTGAATCACTAGAATATAATTCTGTTTGTCTTAAAAGTTCTTATAGGAAAAGGCTTGGATGTCAATCATTTTATAAAATGAGAAAATATTAGATTCTTTAAGTAGAGATAAACAAAACTGAAAAAACATTTCCAAGTCAAAAAATAAACCCTATTTTAAAATGTACAAATGAGCAGCTACAAATGGTTCCTAAACATGCCCAGGTGTCCTTTGCACAACTACGACAACTAGAGAGGCGTCAGGGAGAATCCTCCCTCAGGATGCTAGGACTGGAGCTGCTTCGAGAACTGGCAAGACTCTGCTCTGTGAAAACTGCTACAGGAAAAGAAATTCATGCTATGCTCTAGAAGGAATGCCAAATCAGGCTTCCACTGTTTAAAAAATAAAGATGTTTAGTCTCTTATGACACAACCACACTGTGCCAACACTTTTTGTGTACATTTTATTTAGATTCCATTAAATATGAACATAAAACTCTGAGATTTTATTTAGTAAAATGAATATATTTGGTATAATTTTTAAATGTAATCTACTTTTCTAGTTATATATTTAATAATTTTAAAAGAAAAAATTTCTAATGAGTATTTATTAAATTGGGATCTGCTATAATTCTGTACACGTATTTCAAATTTTAAAGATATAATAGAAAATACTTCATAAAATATTTAATCACAGATTTGGAAATATTTTTAATAGACTGAGTTATACTGTTACAGTTATTTGACCTTATATTTCTTATGGCTACTAGAAAACCTAAGTCTATATAATGTGATTCCCATTTTCTTTGGAGCAGAGGAGTGTATTAAAGGATATCACTGTCAAGTTGTAAATTGATAACTTACCACAAATGCAACAGTATTTATAAGTGCCAACTTGTGGATTGGAAAAAGTACAGCAATGTACTTCCTTTGCAGTATGCAAGTACTAAGAACAGACAGTAGAGGGCAATATATCTTCACAAACTCTAAAACAGGCTGCCTAAAGAATTTTTGAAGTATTTTTCCATTTAACCAGATTTTGCTTTGAAAGAGTTCTTATAATAAAATATTTAAGGGCTCAAAAAGTTATGAAATATATAAAAAATCAAGTTGGATCTGATGAAAACTACAAGCAAATGAAAACATACCTTCATGACTACAGGTTTCTCAAAGTTATAAACAGAATGGGCCTTTCTTTGAATAAATTTCTGAAACTCTGCAAAGTAAGCAATAAGAATATTAGTACTCCCCAATAAGAGACAGAGAAGAAATCTAGAAGAAAATTGCAAACTTTTCATCTCACCATTATAGACCATTTGAAAATTAAAGGGCTCCTCTTCATATATGTCATTTAAATGTTTCATTGCTATTATAAGACAGATTTCCAAGACTGACAGACCTATAATAAAAGAGAGATGGACTCTTGAGTTGCTTGACACTGAAATGACTGTCCTCTAGGAAATTACTACTGTTTAGTCAAGGCTTTGAGGGGTAGAGATGCCCTGTATTTAAAAGTATTCCAACCACTATTTTCTACAAAAACACAAGTAAGTCTTTTAACTTCCCCAAACATAGTTGTTACTGGGGGAGATCTGCAAAATAAAGATTTTTGTAAACTTAAAGGGGTGTGCTATAAACATAAAAAAATTTGATTCTATATGACCCACAACAAACAACAGAAATTGTGATTATTATGCAATTTCAAATAACATATCTAAAACTGTGTGCATAGTCCCTGCTTTCCCCAACACAATGGAGAGAAAAATGTTCCATTCTCAAAAGGAAGAGTGAACCTCAAATGAACAAATACCACCAAATATAGTAGCACTTAGAGGAAGGATGGAGAACATTGTCAATAACCTCACCTGCAATTCCTATTGGCATGGGAGGCAGAACAGTTTCTTTCACTCTAAAGAGCAGTGATAAGACACTGCACAGTACTGACTCAAAGCTGCTATGTGTGTACTCTGGATACAATGCACCATGCTCCATACTGATTATACGTTTGGAAAATACCTAAATCCAAACTTTAAAAATCTAAAAATTAAAAGAAAGACTAACAAAGCAGTTTCTCACCATGTACAATACTTGCTTTAGAGTCCAAGTTACACAAATGCTGTGCCTCCATCAGATCTGCTGAAGTCATAAATGGGCGTGATACTGTTACTCGATTTAAAGCAAGCATCTAAAGAAAGGTGCATTAAAAATTACTTATTTACTTGAATATTCTGGAGATATTAAAGAACAATGTTTAAAAATTGGTATAGTTTATTCTTATAAGAAAGAAACTAGAGTTAGCATCAAACTCTGCTCCATGAAAATGCAGCAGATACTCAGTTCAGATACTGCCATCTCTACTATTATGCACTTGAATCTTATTTGTCAAAAATAATTAAAAGAAGAAATGTCCAACAACAAGAAACTGAAAGAACAATTCAAAACTAGATGTTTACAAATAATATGTAAAGGTAAGTAATTACAGTTGAGAAGTAAGCAGTTTTGAAAACAGTTATAACCTTAGACATAACTATCCTCTTCATTTGGTTCTCCACTCAAGCAAATATCAGCTTCTGGGACTAAGTTTTTACCTCAATTAACAGTATTAATTTGTATATTGAATAGAAATATCTGAGGTTTGTAAATGTAGCAGACACAAACACACAGCATCAGGTTAGATGTACACTTCAGATACTCAATAGTTAAGGACAAGAGAATGGAAGTCCTTGAACTTCATTCTTCTACAAGCTGGGACTCTGACCATTTGTGGCTATTTCCCTATTTTTTTTTCAAGCTTTCTATAACGAAAGTTCTATAAAGATAGTTTCAGAATTCATCTTCAAATGAAAATCTATTATGAAAACTTATCCATATTGATTTTAATTCTAGTGCAATCATTGTCTACTGAACTCCTTTGTATATACCTATAATTACTCATTTTCTGTTGATAAACATCTGTCATTTCCACTTTTTGTAATGATAAGCAAGGCTGGAGAAAGAAATCTCATACATGTTGTTTTATACATCTTTATGTATGTGTGGATAGATGGTGGCTTAGGGTTTTCTATTGCTGTGAAGAGATACCATGACTCTTATAAAGGAAAACATTTAATTGGGTGGCTAGTTTACAGTTCAAAGTTTAGTCCATTATCGACATGGTGGGAAGCAAGGCAGCATGCAGCAGACATGGTGCTAGAGAAAGAGCTGAGAGTTCTTACATCTTGACTCACAGGCAACAGGAAGTGGTCTGAACTACAGAGTAGTGCATGTGCATATATGGGATCTAAAAGCCTACGTCTACAGTGACACACTTCCTCCAACAAGGCCATACCCACTCCAACAAAGCCACAACTCCGAACAGTGCACTACCTATGAGCTTATGGGGGCAATTATGTTCAAACTACCACAGATGAATTCACAGATTCATAATCCACAACTTTATTATAGCCAGGTTGTTAGAAATGACACAATATTTTTGATGGGTAGGAGGGAATTAAACTAATGAGATAAGTTTATATGGAGAAATACAACTTTATTCAGTAAAGACAAGAAAGGAGAAGAAGAATCAGTAATTACAATGCAGTAGAAACACATGAAGCATGCCATAAGCTTCAAATAGCCCAAGAAGCCTAGAGCTGAGCCCCAGCTTTGCCATCTAATAGCTGTGAAAGAACTGTTTAACTTAACTGTTTCAATTTTTTTTCCAAGGGGAAGAAGAAACACCTGTGGACAGAGGGAAGTGTTCACTGTGAATGGCTGGAGGTTACGTAGAAAGCTGACGTGTTACTGGGAAGAAG